TTGTTTTCTTGCTTTCAAGTGGATGCCTCGTTGGACGACTTAGGTTTACTTGACATAATGGCATTTGTGTTTTTCGTGAATACTTTTTTGGCCTTTTGTTACCCAGGAATCAACAGAGAGAGTGACCTTTTTGGCAGGAGGAGACATAAACACTACACTAAACACAAAGCTGTTGGTACAGATGGCCTTGTGTGTTTGGGCAGAACAACAGGTGACTTGGGAGCAGGGGTAACCAGTGTACATACCATTCTGGTAGGACAGTGTTTCAGAGTTTAAGCAGGAGCTCTCCAAAGTGGAGAAAGCACAATTTGTTATTCTAAGAAGACAGAACAAGGGACTTGGATTCCAGGGCAGAGTTTGTTTTTTACAGAAGGTAAAAGCAAGCAAGCCACATTGTGCCATCTTCCGCCCTGGTGGCTGTAGGAATTACTGCCTGGCATAAAACAGGAAAGAGAGTCGACTGTTGGGCTTTAGGGACCCACTTCCACATCATCTTGGAGTTTACCTTGTTGCAGATGCAGCCACAGGTAGGTTAGAGACGGAGTGTTGGTGCAATAAACCCAGGAATCAATGTAGCATCTTCATCTCATCAAGATGTAGTTCAGAGTAGCAGAGTGCACAGTCTGATACCATATGTTTTATCCTCATACGTTAGAGCTTTCAGCAGCCTTTTTAAGCGAGGCCATTTACCAAAGTTATTTCTATAAGCTCAAGAGTGTTTCTGTTGCTAAATTCTTCCAGCCGAAGCCACTTTCTTCCTCTAAAAGTTAATACAGATGACTATTTGTAGTTTCAAAGGCATAGCTGGCCTGGCGGAAAGTGAACCTGCAGCAGTTCAGGATGACTAATGAAAGGAATTAGTTTGTACATTTACCAACAATCCATAAATGATCTCAATTTTTACATTATCATCTCTGTGCCTTCTAATCCCTGATTCCTTTTCAAAACACCTCTCCAGAACTTACCCATTACAAAATCTGCCAAAATGAAGGATTGCTTATTAGCATAGTTCACTTTTTAAGAAACCTTAGTTTTTGGTTAGAGGTTAAAATAAACTTTACTTAGTTTACTGGCTGTGACCTCTGACCCTGTCAGACCAGGTACTGATGACATCCAAGGTAAAGGAAAACACTTAAAAACTAGATCATGAAAGGACTGGCGCTAATCTCACAAATCAGAACATTGTTAACACCTTACAGATACTGAGTACAGTTGCTTATAACTAGGCTCTGATTTCCTTTCACTGCTATGTGAATTAGTTCCAGTCCTCCTCATATATCCTTTTGTACCTAAGATTATGAAGTAACTTCCCTTTTAGGGGTTAGAATGACTTCAGATTTTTTATTTGAGAAAATCCTGATTCTAAGCACCACGTCACATAAGTTTGTTTGTTCTTTTACAAATGCGAGTTAATTGTTTGTTTGAAAGAGGATAGCAGCAGTACCAATGGAGAAAATTAGGTTTAAAAATTCTTTAGGAATAGGTTAGAACTGCTGCCTTCCTTCTCTCTATGATGTGAAATGTAAGTGGGTGCATTAAGGCTTTTAAGATCTTTAATTTTTATCTTATGTCTGTCTTTTACAAGATTGAAGTTTCCCATCCTTTTTATGTTTATCCTATTTCCTTTGTCTAAAATCTGGGTTTGGTGTTTTAAAGTCCCTAGTTCCATGGCATCACTGCTTGCTGTTATGTTACACAGACACAGAGAATGGACCTCACCTGTGGCTCAGCTCATCATCATTTGTTTCTCGTTATGTGTGAATAAATTATAATCGCTGATGTTACATCATTCCCATCTGTACCAGTTTAGAGCATTCCCCTCATCTCTCTTTCCCTTTTCCTTGTTTACACATTTTGAGTACTTTCCCTCATTCACCACTTTCCAGGGATTCATAGAAAATAATTAGATACAAAACTAGTTTCATTCAAAATGTTGAAAATTAGACCCACATAGGGGGAAATTGAGCTTTAAATGGCTGATTCTAAACTCCATACATGAAAATTTAGCGCAGTCCTTTCAAAGCCTGAGAAAACGTAATTTGCCTCTGAATCTACTGTTCCAAAACTCTCTCTTGGAAAATGTCTGTTGGAAAACTCCAGGTGGGTCACGGGGGTGGGGGGGTGGTGGTTGTCCCAGTGACACTCAGGATTCCAGTCAGAACCTAATCCTCACATCTATTGCCTACAAAAACAGACCAAGAATGTTGCTGCTCTTTTATAATCCTCCTTTAAATAACACTCAAGTTTTGTTTGTCTTAAATTCAACCTCTTAACCAAAAGTGGAAAAGGAAAAAAAAAAAAAAATCTCATGGAATTGCTTTGAGATACACCCACTTACACCACCAGGTGGCTTCATTCTGTCTCAGCCCAAGAGGCAAGAAAGGGATCCCCTCCCCCCCCAAGGCCCACCTCAAGAGAAAAATTAAAATTACAACAACAACAAAAAAAAGAAACTACTACCTCAGTTGACAGGATTCCACCTTTAGGGTTTCTTCAACTTTTAAGTCTTACCTGTTGAGTGTAACTTTTGTAGCATCTTGCTTTTTTAAGCAAGCTAGTGAGGCATGACAGAGCAGAAGTGTGTAAATGTTACTGTGATGGACCTCTTTCTAGCATGTTGCAGTTTTATTTTTAATAGATTGATGAGTGATATGAATGTAAAGATAATTGTGTATGTTTAAACATGACAATGAAAATTTAAAATGTAGCTTCCATACTTGTGCATAATTCCAAAGTATTTTATTTTTATCAGTGTTAAATAGCTTTTTGTACAGGCTTCAATCCATTTTTCTGAAGTGTGCTGTTTTTTAATAAAAGTAACTATAATCTTTTCACATCCCATGGAACTGCCGTTTACACATCACAACTTTTTAAACTTACCGTATTTTTCAAAAGTAACTTTTTTGGAGGGAGGAAAGTCCCCGCTTGCTAAGTGATACTAAACTGCTGTTTAGGCTCTTATAATTAGGTCCTGATATTTTATAAAAAATTTAGTCTGTAGCTTTTTAGGTTCTTCACTAGAATTGGTTGTACATAAAAGTAAAGAATATAAAGTGACCCTAAAATTCTTTTAAATGTCTGGGTTTTCCCACTAATATGTACTTTTGAAAGTATTTTGTTCATGCATACTTTCACCATTACATTGAAAAAGTCTTTAGCTTCTCTTGGTAAATGTGAACCGTTTGTTTTTTTTTATTGTGCTGTGGGGGAGGGGATATTTTAATATAATATTTACCTAAATCAAGCAGCCCCCTCTGAGTGTTAATTTTTAAATAAAGAAATTTTGGTGACCACATATCTTGGGAGCAAGATTGCAATATGCTTAAATTTAAGTGGTGGTTAAAAGGAGAAAATTCTGGGATTTGTTACTATTGAAGCTCCAGTAAGACAAATTGATAGGACTTTATATTTTTGATCAGGTAAATAGATATCAATGCCAATGTATAGAAATCTTTTCTTAAAACTTGTTCATGTATTATTTTGATCCATTTTTCTGTGGCATTTGGTGCAATAAACCTTTTGAATTTACCTTGAACATTTTTCTGGTACTGCATGTGATTTGTTACATTTAATCTAGTTCGTAAAAACTTAGAGGTCTCATTTCCACTAATTCATGCAGAAACAAATTGTTAAATATGTCAGTGATTTTCAGCAGGGATGTTTTGGGAACGTAGGGACATTTTTGGTTAGCATGATGTTGGGTGAGAGTTACTGGCACACAGCAGATGGGGGCTGAGGCTGATAAAAGAAATGTAATGTATGGGACCCCCCCCCAACCCACCCCCATGGAATGAGGAAATGTCCCACCTCCTGCATGACTTTTAAGTGTTCTGTTGGACATTCATATGGGTGAAAAACCTGTTTATAATTATCTAAGCAAAGAATTTAATTCTGCTTTGCCTAAAAGCCCAATGTGTTTTTCACATGATTTTAATATATGCTGAATTTTCCAGGAATGCCGCTGGTTTATAAATCGAAGGAAGATTGTACTTTGTAAGATTCAGAATTTTTACAGGAATTAACATAAATTTGGAAGGCAACATTAACAACAGCTACTGTACTAATGAATTTAAGTCATCCGTTTATCCGTCTTCACTTATAAGTAGCATTCATGGAGACTATATATAGATGCAAGCCTCTGCCTGCTTCATGTTATTTCTAGAGTTTCAATGTCTCCCTGTTAAAATACATTTTAATGTTATTTTTTAAATAGTACATGTAGGGCATTATATTGGTTTGTTTGAATTACGTGTGTAAGGAGGTTATTTATGAATTATTTTAGGAAAGTAAAGGGCATTATATAATATTTGCTATGTAAAGGATGAGATCATATATATATATAGTCTCGGGGGGGGGGTAAAAAGGTTTTAAGTAGAACTTTGTAACATACATAATACCATACTGAATTATGTTGTCATAATTAGGACTGTAGGGGCAAGTAACATTAGGTATTTCAAACTCCTTTCTGGATTAAATGAAAATTTCAAAAGCGTTTTCCATATTCCCTCAAGCAGCTTCAAAATCATGCCATTGATAAAGAATCTAAACACACATACACCCCACGTTGCTTTTTTCACTCCCTGGTGCCGGGGCAGTTTTGACCCAGTTTTGACACCTGAGTGAGACGGGTACCGTGATGGTTACTTTATGTGTCTACTTGGTTGGGCCTTGGCACCCAGGTACGCGGATCAAACCCCAACTGTGGAAGTTGCTGTGAAGATACTTCTTAAAGCTTGGTTGAAACATCACCTCCTTTAATCCTTATCCATCCACTCGTGCATCCAACAAATACCGGGTGCTAGGCACTGGCCAAGTGCACAGGATGGAGGTGGAAAAAGTCCGAGCTGAGGGAGCAGGTGTGGAAGGGGGCGCAGAGTTAGGACAAAGCACCCCGATGGCATCTGGGCCCGCGCCAGCTACCTGGGGACCCCCACACCGGTGGAAGACAGAGGGGCGCCCTTGGTGGCCGGAAGGGAGGGTGCTCACCACAGGCTCCAGCGTTAGGTGTTGTTAGGACCTGGTTTCCAGCGAGCAGGTGAAGGTTCGGGGAAGTGACCAAACGCTGCTTCTACTTGGGGGCTGACTGCCGGCCGACCACTCAGCAAAGTGCCCTCTTGGGGTCCCGCTGGCCTCCGTGCTCCCCCACGACCATGGGAGCGGGCCATCACCCCGCGGCCCGGGGAGCCCCGGCAGGGCCCGTGTTCCAGGCGTCGCGCCCGCCGACCCTCGGGGCCCTGCTGGAGACGCCGCCGGCTAGCGTGGCCCGCGCCCCAGACGCAGGCGGGGTCTTGGGGCGCCTGCCTGGGTTCGAATCCCGCCTCGGGCTGCCTGCCAGCTGTGTGACCCCGGGCGAATTCCTCGACCTCTCTGGCCTCTGGGTTACCCCGGCCGTGGAGCCGGGGCCCTAACAGCTGCTCCAGGGGGACGGGGACCCCGGGGGTGCGGACGGCCGCGGTGCTCTCCCCGCGGGGTGCGGGGGTGCGAGGGTGCGGGGCTGCGGGTCCTCGCCGCTGACCTCGGGCTTGGCGGAGACCGACCGCGGAAGGCCACAGGCGGCGCCCGGGGCGGGGGTGCGGGGGGCGGCCCGGGAGCTCCCCGCGGGGTCGGGCGCTCCTGTGGCCGCGCAGCCCTCACGGACCCTCTCACCCACAGCCCCGGTCCTCCCGTCCTGTCCTCCTGTCCCGGGCCGGGGGGCTGTGCGTGCGCGTGTGCGCGTGTGGTGGGCCTGGCCGCCTCGGCGCAGTCCTGTCCTGGGCCGGGAACGAGCGTGCATGCGCGTGTGTGCGCGTGTGTGTGCGTGTGCGCGTGTGTGCGCGTGTGCTCGCGTGTGTGTGCGTGCGCGCGTGTGTGCGTGCGTGCGCGTGTGTGTGCGCGCGTGTGTGCGTGTGTGCGCGCGTGTGTGTGCGTGTGCGTGCGTGTGTGCGTGTGCGCGTGTGTGCGCGCGTGTGTGTGCGCGTGTGTGCGTGTGTGTGCGCGTGTGTGTGCGTGTGCGCGCGTGTGTGCGTGTGGTGGGCCTGGCCTCCTCGGCGCAGTCCTGTCCTGGGCCGGGAACGAGCGTGCATGCGCGTGTGTGCGCGCGTGTGTGCGCGTGTGTGCGCGTGTGTGCGTGTGTGCGCGGGTGCGCGCGTGTGTGCGTGTGTGCGCGCGTGTGTGTGCGTGTGTGCGCGCGTGTGTGTGCGTGTGTGTGCGTGTGTGCGCGCACGGGGGGGTTGCGCGCGTGTGTGGTGGCCTTGGCCTCTCGCACCCACCGCCTCCGCGCAGCCGCGGGCGGAGCTCTGCGAGCGGAGCTTGTAAACGAGCGGCTTGAAGGACTGGAGGCAGAGGCCCGGCGGGGAGGGGCTTCCACCGCCTGACGGACCCCGGGCTCCGCCTCCGGGCTCCGGCCTCGGGCTCCACCTCCGGGCTCCGGCCTCGGGCTCCACCTCCGGGCTCCACCTCCGGGCTCCGGCCTCGGGCTCCGGCCTCGGGCTCCACCTCCGGGCTCCGCCTCCGGCTCCACCTCGGGCTCCGGTCTCGGGCTCCACCTCCGGGCTCCACCTCCGGGCTCCGGCCTCGGGCTCCACCTCCGGGCTCCGGCCTCGGGCTCCGGCCTCCGGGCTCCGGCCTCGGGCTCCGGCCTCGGGCTCCACCTCTGGGCTCCACCTCCGGGCTCCGGCCTCGGGCTCCACCTCCGGGCTCCGCCTCGGGCTCCGCCTCGGGCTCCACCTCCGGGCTCCGGCCTCGGGCTCCACCTCCGGGCTCCGCCTCCGGGCTCCGGCCTCGGGCTCCACCTTTGGGCTCCGGGCTCAGGCTGCAGCTTTGGGCTCCGGCCTCGGGCTCCGGCCTCGTGGTGGCCCCGCGCCCCGCCCAGGGCCCCGGAAGCGCCGGCCCCGCCCCGCCGCCCCCGTCGGCCCACGTGCGGGCCGCACTCTTCGGGCTTCGAGCACCGGCGGGAACAGGGAGGGCGGCAGGGAGGGCCGAGCCTCGGGATGGCGGGGAGGAGGCCCCCGCCCGAGCGACCCCCCGCGCCCCCCGGCCTCGCGCCCGCCTCCCTGGCGCCTCCGCGCTCTTCCCGGGGGTGGGGGCGGGGCGGGGGGCTCCGGGGGGTCCGCGGGGCGCCAGGGCATCACCCCCCCCGCCCCCCCGCCCCTCTCTTGCCTTCTTTCAACCCCTCATTTCGCGACTGAGTCACGCAAACGCCTGGAGCCCCCCTGCCTGCGGCATCAGGCCGCGCGGATCCATCTTCCCGGCGACGTCTAAATCCCTCCAGGATCAAAGTGTGCTACGGTCACTTGGGCCAGGAAGCCAGCCGGGGCAGTCCAGGCTCCTCGGCACCGGCGCTCAGGTGAGCCGGCGTCCGCCAGGTGCGGCCCCGAGCCCGCCGCCCGGCCTGGCCCCGGCCCCGGCCCCGGCCCCGGCCCCTGCCCCTGCCCAGGCCCCTGCCCAGGCCCCCCCTGTTCTAGCTCCAACTGCAATCCCGTGTCCGGTCCTCCAGGGCCCTCCGCCCAGGGTGCTGCCCCGGGACCCCCGCTTTGCCTGGGGGTTCCACAGGAACATTGATCCCAGACCCTGTCCCAGCCCAGCTGAATCACGTAGGGATCGATAAGCATGTTAGAATTTGAGAATTACTGCCTTTGGATTCGAGGTGAGCGAATGGACCATGGGGAAGGATGGATGCACCAGTGCAGGCCTCGGCATGAAAGGAGGCAGGGAGAACCCCTGCAAGCCGAGGAACCCATAGGAATGGACGGTGTTAAAAGTACATGGCATCCACGTAAACCTGACACCACTCAAGTGGCCATTATTTATGTGGGGGGAAAAGCGAACCAAAAATCAAGAAGGGACAATAACATATACTAGAAGATAGAACTTCACAAAAGAGAGATTTGGGGAAATACGGTTAGAAGAAGTAGTCTAGAAATGTACAGGATTTGTGAGCATGTTGTTTAGGACGGAGGTATACGAGAATAATACACGCTGTTAAATATAAATTGCACTTTTAGAGACACTGTGATCAATAAGCTCCAAACTTAGGTTTATAAGGTCCCAACTCAAGAATGGGAACATAAAATATCCCCACTTTCCACCACCTGTCTTCAGTGAGAAGGATTTCCCACAGATCTCCCAACTCCATTGACCGTGATTCGCTCTACTGAGGCTGCTTTTCTGTGTGTGGTTTGGATTCTTACAGCATAGGAATGGAAGATGTGCTGGCGTCCCAGGTAAGTATAGTCGTGGCAGCCACTCGGTGGTGGCTGGTGTAAAACATTGTGTTGGAGGCTTTACACACCTTGTATTTGCTTTGGAACCTGTAAGAACACTTGCTTCAAGTTATTTTCCATGAAGAGTTCTATTACAGCGGGGCAGGCTTGAGTACTTACTGAAGTATCATCCACGAGCATCCTGTGGGATGGTCCGGAACATGAACTTAGAGAAAAAGTTTCTAATACATATCTAGAAATTTAGAAGAAAGCCTAGTGTATGAAAAGAGAGATTTTTCTTTGGATGATACAGTATTTTGTTGGTCTCTGGAAGGGAAAACATGTGAGCAAGTGCTCGATTAACCATCACTGAGTTAAACTGACCTCAGGTGCCTCTGATAGGATGCGTTGAGAGTGACACGATATGGCTTAGCTAAGATTCCTGCCAAAACACATAACCTGAATCTACTCATGAGAAAACATCAGATAAACCTAAATTAAGAGATATTCTATGGAACTGGTCTATACTCTTCAAAGGTGTCAGTGTTATAAAAGACCAAGACTGAGGAACTATTCTAAATTGAAGGAGACTGAAGAGACACGAGGACTAAATATAATATATAGTCTAGATTGGATCCTGGATAAGGAGAAAATACAAAGGACAGTATTGGGTCAATTAATAAAATTTGATTATGAGCTATAGGTAATAATATCGTATCAGTGTTAAATTCCCTGGATATTATCATTGTATTGTGGTTATATGAGAGAACATTTTGTTCTTAGGAATACACCCCGAAATGTTGAAATGTAAAGAGGAATCATGTCTGCAATTTGCTCTCAAACGATTTGGAAAAAAAAAAATGTGTATATGTGTGTGTTTATGTGTATACATGCGTACACACACATTGAGAAAGAAAGCATTAATGCAAATGAACTGGCTGTTCTGAGTGAAGAATATCAGAGTTCACTTTGTACTGTTCTTGCATCTCTTCTATAAATTTGAAATGATTCCAAACTGAAGAGTCCTTTAACAGATTTTTTTTTTTAATGCACAGAAATATCTCAGTTGGGTTTAGCGAATGATAGAAGGGGGCATTTGGGATCATTTAATCTATGATGGCTCTAATCCTACACAAAAATTAGTTCAGTGATGGAAAGTAACTAGCCCAAGCCTGCTCCACACACATTGCAATAAATCATTTCATTTGGACCCAGCCCAAAAATCAGACCACAGAGGAATGTTAGCAGCTGAACTGCTCCCTTTTTAAAAAAATACAAAGTGCCTCTGGGGTCAAGACCTACCAAGGAGGACTTCCATGGCTCCCTCCCAGACTGCTTCAAATAGATATAATTAATTGCTAATGAATCAGATCTCTGGTGACAGAGGGCAAGCAATATTCTAGGGAGTTGGCACGATTCTTGGATGGAGCAAGGAGACTTCTCATGTAGGAAATAGGAGTCTCTGAATTAAACCCAGCTATCCCATTCCCTTTCCAGCATGTAGTCATGATCAATATTGAAATACTGGATGACTACAAAGTGCATTTTGCTGTGGGAATTTGTCAAAGAATCCAGGAAATAGTCATTGATTTGTATATACTTACACATTCTTTACTTGATTCTCATCATCACTTTATTAAATATTCAATGCAAATACTAAGTCCCCATTTTACTTCTGGAAAACCCATATAGGGAAATTATGCAACCTGCTCAAGATTTTATAGACAATAATGAGAAACTCTTGAATGTGAACTGGTATACTCTTACTCTGCTAACCAGCGTGCACGAGTTTTGACAGGGGTTATAGATTTGCCTCTGAGTCACACCTTTCTTAGGTTTTGCAAATCAAGGAGATGGCGTTTTCTCCAGGTTTACCCGTTTGAGAAATCAGCAGTTGTAGGGACTGAACTCTACAACCTCTTGTTTTATTTAGCTATAAAATAGGAATAATACCTGCCCGCAGTATGGACATGACATCACTGTTAAATTCCAAAATGTTTTGATAAGTTAAAAGGAGCCATAAAACTGACTACTAGTCGTATTACTTCTAAATCACATTCTCTAATTCATGTTAAAATAATTTGATGTTTTCTGTGATGATTCAGAAAAAGCAAATGATCGTACCTCCTCCTTTCCTGGCAGCTTGGGCAGCGTAGGTGATCTGGACGCTCTTGGCAACATTGCTGTGCTCTGCCTGACAAGGACAGCTCCCTGGGAGTTTCTTTGGTCGGTGTTCTCATAATCACCCATGTGCCAGGCAATAGAACCACGACTGTATTTTCCTTGCATATCCATAATGTAAGGTTTTGGTTGCCTGAAATTGGAGCACATTGGTTGGTTTTCAAATTGGAAAGATCTGGAAACAAGGCCACTGGATTTCAGATCATTGAGATGGTCTGTTCCTCTTGTGATCATAGGTGATATTTAGTCATGTGGCTTGGGAAAGCTAAGGACCCGAGCCATCAGCCCGTGTCTGAGAAGTTTCTAGGTTCTGCCAACCCCCGTGGGTGTCTAGCTGGGGAAGCTCAGGAGAGATACTTATCTAGGAACCTTGTTGATGATTCACCTCTGCATCATAACTGACCCTCCTTCCTTTAGAGCCACACACGCAGGATGCTGCAGGTGGCATGGCATGTTCAAGCTGAGACCTCGAGTGTTCTGTAGGGCATGGTCTATCCATTTTGAGAGCTTAGGGGAGTTCAGGAAAACACCAGCTTCATGATTCTAGCCTCTGGGTCAGAACAATATGTTAAAGGAAAGATGGAGGCTTCATTCTCTTTCCCTGTAGAAATCCTCGTCTAGGGTTCCAACATCCCTGATTTAGGACTGTTTAAATCCTGCCTTCCCGTTATAATGGGCCAGCCCTGGGGGAAAAAGCAAAAAAGGGTCATAGGATAGGATTTGCCATCTCATTTGGAAGTCCCTCGTTCTGAAGAACCCTCTGAGTGCCCCGAGCCTCTTGGCCGCTGAGGCCAAGAATCCTAGAATCTGAGCGTTATGGGGTCCCGGGTTCTGTAGAGCAAGATTGGTGGCAGGTTGGCACTACCCTTCGCTCATCCAGGGCACGCGCGCTTTCTTTCTGCGGCAACAGTGCCAGGTGGTGGGGACACAGCAGGAATGGAACGAACGAGGTCTCTATTATGACAGAGCTCACCCGACCAGGACGACCAGGACGCCAGGCCGACAGCGGACGGGGAGGTCGGATATTGGGGAAGTGCCATGAGGAACACGCAAGCCAGATAAGGGCTAGAACGTGCCGGGCTTGCTGTTTGGTGGGGGTGGGCTGAAGAGGAGGAGGTATCCCTTGGGCAGGGAGCTCCGTGCAGGGGGAGCTAGCGGTGTGGGGTGCAGGGTGGGGGGCCAGACACTCCCTCCCACTCCCTAGAAGCACAGAGCCCCCTGTGCACCCTGCGCAGCTGACGCCCCGGCCTTCAGCCTCAGGTCCAGATTCCTTAGCACAGCGCGCAGGGGTGTGTGTGGGGGGGGTGCTGCTGTTTGTTTGTTTTTCGTCTGTTTTCTTTTTTTAACCGGTCTGCCCACATGGGCCTTTCTGCTCCGAGCTCAGCCCATCCCTCCCTGCAGACTCCCACACAGTGCTCCGTTGTGCGCTCACCCTTCCCCCTGTGAGCCCGAAGAAGCCCAGCCTTTGGCTGCAACTTTGCTTTTGCCTTGTAATTCCCTCCCCTCCTCTCCTGACAAACCGCAGCCGAGGCTTCAGACCTCACCTTTTCTGTAAAAGAAGACTCCACGTTGCTGTCAGGCAGCACTTTTTCCCCTCTGATAGCACGTTGTATTTTGACTTCTTTTGTAGAAACGATTAGAATCTGCTTAAATGTTTAGTGCAGAGGGCTCAGGCCCTGGGAACTCAGGGCTCCTGGAAGAGCCCAGAATGTGGCTGATTGATCCCAGGATCCCCAGTGCTCATGACCTGGCCCGGCCCTGTGACGCTCAGCTAGTCTGTGGTGGGTGGGCTAGCCGGGAAGGCGGGGAGAAGATCAGGCCTGAGTTACTGTAAACGTTCTTTCCCTCCCACTCCTCTCCACTTGTTTGCTTCTGCAGCCTTTTTTTTTTTTTAAAGATTATTTTTATTTATTTGAAATAGAGCAAGAGCAGGGGATGGGGGGAGGGGCAGAGGCACAGGGAGAGGGAGAAGGAGAGGAGACTCCCCACAGAGTAGGGAGCCCAATGCAGGGCTCCATCCCAGGATCATGACCTGAGCCCAAGGCAGACCCTTGGCCAATAGTGGCCCTTCTGCACCTCTTTTACCCTCCCACTACCAGAGGTGTGTCGCAGTGGATCCCTAGGGTCTGGTTTGTCTGAGTGTTGTTATTTATAAACACAGATTAATAGCTGGGAATAATTTCAGGAAAGTTTAAAGGACAAGAGAACTAGTAGGTAGCATGTAGGGGACAAGTATTGTTTCTAGTTTATAGTAGCTCGATTAATGATTCATAGGAGAAATATTTCATTCAAATGTGCCACATTTTCTTTAAAAAATAGTGTATTACAACCAAAAGTAGTATTACATGGTATATAATAACTGGGATTAAATAAAAACTTGAAGAAAAACTTGAAATAAGTTAATAAAAATAATGTATTATAGAAGTAATTATACTTGAATAGAAAAGGAAAGTCCTTGCACGTAGTCAGATATTTTATAAGCTTCTATTTTTAAATTCTGAACACCCTATGTCCCTGAATCTTGAATCTCCAGGAACAGTGGAAAGCTAAAAATTAGTTGTATTTCAAAGAGTTAAAAAATCTTACAAAAATAATAGCCATATCAACTATGGAGATTTACACACAGTATATTGAACTTACAACTGAGCCACAAAGGTCAAAAGTGGTAGATCAAGGAGCAGAATGAATTGGAGCATAAATCCTAGGCCATCAGCAATGATTTGATGTTATACAAACACACACACACAGATAAACAACAAAATCAAATATTCTTAGTATAACAATCTTACTATTCTTAAGTAGATCCTTAAGGGTCAGATTTTTTTCTTTTTAAAGTACTTCCAAATTTACAGAAAAGTAGAAACACAGTACAAAAGCTTTTATGCCT